CTCTTAAGGGACACTCTTGTGAGACACTCTTGTGGGCCACTGTTGCGTGACACTCTTGTGGGACACTCTTGTGGGACACTCTTACAGGACACTCCTCTAGGACACTCTTGTGGGTCACTCTTATGGGACACTCTTGTCGGACATTCTTGTGGGACACACTTGTGAGACACTCTTGTGGGCCACTCTTGTGGGACACTCGTACGGGACACTCTTGTGGGACACTCTTGTAGGAAACTCTTGTGGGACACTCTTGTGGGACACTCTTGCGGGACACTCTTGTAGGAAACTCTTGTGGCATACTCTTGTATAGGACACTCTTGTGGGACACTCTTGTAGGACACTCTTGTGGGACACTCCTGTAGGACACTCTTGTGGGACACTCGTGTGGGACACTCTCATAGGACACTCTTGTGGGACACTCTTAAGGGACACTCTTGCGAGACACTCTTGTGGGCCACTGTTGCGGGACACTCTTGTGGGACACTCCTGTGGGACACTTCAAGTATCCAAAACGAGCGTTTCGTACGAGACTTCCTCCAAATATCACACGTCAAGTCTCCAAAACGAGCGTTTCGTCCGAGACTTCCTCGCGTTTCGTACGAGACTTCCTCCAAAAGTCAAGCGGGAACACCCATCGGAGCACACACATCACGCAGCCCTGCCAAGCAGATTCGCGATTCCAGCCCCTCCAAACAACACCCGCCCACACGCCAATCCCAATGTATACCACAACTCACAACCTCACGACTCCCTGCGCCTGCCACGCATCTTTCCGCGTCCACACGTCTAACGCGAACAAAGTGCTGCGCCTGCCACCTCACAACCTCACGATTCCCTGCGCCCGCCACGAAAATTGCACTTCCACATCTCAAAACCCGCACAAAGTACTGCGCCTGCCACGAAAAGTGACAATATAATCTCATGTGAGCTTCCACAAAATTTGCACCACACCACTCGTTTGGAATGAATTCGACACGTTCTGAGCACACGCCCATCCACCCAAATCGTCATTTCAGCTGAGACATGTCACGAAAACAGAGCTTCGATGCCACACCCTGAAACACAAATCCCAATGGCACAGCCACATCCAACACCCCAAAAACACGACTCTCCAAACGCTAATCTCAATGGAACTGCGCAGCAAACTGCGGATCTCACAAAACGCTGCGCCTGCGCAGTGAAATCATCCTCCACACTTCAACCTCTTACATTTCCACATGATTCCTCGCTATTTCACACGAATCTGACACGTCACGTTTTCATCCGAAACCCTCTCCAAAAGCTTCCCCCAATGGCAGCGCCTTAGCGCTCTACCGAACGGTTGCGAACGGTTGCGGACGGCTGCGAACATAGAAACAACGGGTCGCGAACAAGGCTCTACCCCCAGACCCCCAGAGTTAAACGAGAACCCTTCGCTACGCATTCGGGAAAAAGTGCATCACACCACACACTAAAGGAGGCACTCAAAAGAGAAACCCATGGAATGGCGTGCATTTCTTTTGTTGGACTACTTAGTCCCGGCCAGGTTATATCTGGCAGGTAGAACAATGGAGCCAAACTTTGACAGATGACAGATGCACTCCTCGACCACACGAAGCGCAGAAAACACCGAATACAGTAATCCGTGGCATCTCAAGTTGTGGAGTTGAGCAGAGCATGCAGAACCCAGAGAAGATCTGAGAAGTCTACAGTCTACAGAGAAGATCTGAGTCTAGTTGAGGTCTCAACCTGCAGCTGAACAGATCTGAGCAGTTGTTTTTTTGCACCGAGACTTGTCCTGAGCTCTCTGCCAAGTGCCTATGGCACAAAGAAAACAACCTGGCATCTCTCACTGAAGGCGATTCTTCGTCGGAACTGTTTGTCTATGTCTGTCTTCATCGTCAGCTGGGCCAAATCTACATTCACCACATTGAGCACACCTAAGCAACCGCAAATCCTTGGCACAGAGTGATCACTGGTTTGCACAAAACAAAGAGTGCAGCGTAGCTTTGTGCCAATCTGCCACATGCTATGTGTATGAACACACCGGGTTGCAAATGCATGGGCAGCATCCCTCCGCTTCACTGAATTCATGGCTGCCTGGCCTGGTGGCGGTCCACACACATTTTGAACCCGTAAGATCTCAGCCAACCTAGTTTCTTTGGTCGGAAGTGCCACTTTAACTGGTGCCGACATACGGTGCTGATGCTTTGGAGACTGAGCTTCACATGCACGTGGACTTACATTTCCCGCAGCGGAAACCTGAACAAAGTGGTTTCCAGTCATGTTCCGATACGGTATCGGTGCCGAAGAGTGCTAGTTCTCTCTTCTTGAGATCTATGGTCCCGCCACGGGTGGACGCACAGTCTTTGCGGAGCTGGTGAAGGAATTGGTGCTTTGTTTGAACCACATGCGCAATACGATCCGCTGCTTGAGAACGGCTGCTTGAGAAAGGACGCGCTCGTGAAAAGCATCAGCCGTCTTAACTTCAATTTGTTTCGCATGAGGTTGCTGCAAACTGACCCTCTCCCAAAAAATTCGAGAACAGCCACCCAAAAACTGATGTTATTGGAGGGCATGAAGAGCCACGTCCCCTCGACAATCTTGGATGAAAAGCACATGCACTTTGTCAAAAAATATAGAAATATCACTCAATATCACTCACAGGCCAAATCTCTTGCCAAATCTGGGCATACCAGCTGCCTATTCTCCAACATTTTCCACACTGAAGGTGACGAAGCCGACACCCTGCGCAGCGTTTCGGCCAGTTCCGCCTTCCGCCAGATGGACTAGGGCCGAAGTTAATGCTCTTGTTTTCATGTGCCGCCCTGGCGTCAAACCAGTCGCAGCTCCAAGTCTCAGCACTTCAGGTTTGAGGCAATGATGGCACATGCCAAAAAAGCACAAGCGAATCCTAGCATCCCCTTTAGTACAAAGAGCAACCACAGAAAAACAATGTCTTCAGGCACTGGGGTGCTGCTTGGTCGCAATCCACGGGACAAAAGGTGCCTTTCTCCTTCCAGCCGAAACCGATCGTTCCAGTCGACGGAGTGCTTGAACCCTTGCTGGGGCCAGAACTTACATTTCCACAGGACATGATTTGAGCAGTCTACAGTAACTGAAATATGGAGTAATCTGACGGGACCCGGACGCGGGCAAAATCGATCTGGTGCAACATTATGGGTTACCAGCTTTCTTTCCAAATCAGCGAGTACCATTCCATTTGGATCCTTCCGCTTATGCAAATGTTGCTACCCTCAGCCTAAGACCAATATAGTTGCTTGCTTTGACCCTGTGGCCTTGTGGATTCAGCGCGACAAGGTCAGAGCACATGGACGTGACCACTCAGGAAAACCTTTTGGAGTTTTTTCCACCTCAAAGACATGGACTCAGTTCAAGAGAGCTTCTGCAAGTACTGTACAAGCAAAAGCCATGCCATGTTCGGGCTGAGGTCCCGATGCAGTTGTTCTTTGCAATGTGATTGAACCTTATTCGCCAGAGGCACGGTGTAAAACGTGACACCATTTCACACATTCACAGAGCACAGGCGCGGCGACTCTTATTTTCTCACATCATGGAGTTCCTGTCTCTCAAAGGGTGCCTTCACTTACTTCATTTCATATAGTTCATAATTTGTTTTGCATGTCTGAGATTTGTTTCTTGGGTCGTCTAAGGCGCTTGATCGTTGTGATTGCAATTGGTCAGGCCGGCTTAGGCCGGCTGCTGAAACTAGTTCTATGTTCATGAAGTTCGGTCTTCAGATTCAAGGTACCGAGTTCGAGTCTGTGCTTGATCTGGTCTTCCCAACTGCCGTCGTCCTGGCAATCCAACTGGAATTGCGTTTTGCTTTGGATTTGACATGAGGCCAGCCAGCTGCAAGCCGATGAGCTTGAGGAACGCATAGTTTCAATATGTTTCAATGCACTTGGAAAGTGTGTGTGTATTTGTGCTTAGGTTCGGTGCTTAGTGTATGTTGTGAATCTTCTTCCTGTAAGTATTAGACGTGGTGGTCCGTTCGGTTCTGCAGTGTGTGTTGTCAGTAATTATATATCAGTAATTGGTCTCGGCTTGTGGTGGGGACCGGAAGCATGATTGCCGCCCATGCATGCCCATGCTGCCTCCATGCCGGCCTGAACGCCCCAATGCTGGCGACCTCTTTGGGCCTGTGGGGAAAACATGCCAGAACATGCCAGAACCAGGTCATGCCGCAACCTAACTTCGAGGCTGAGGCTACCAGGCACCAGGCTCTAGGCACTTCTTTGAAATAGTCCCAGCTTGCGGCCTGACTGGAGCCGAGGCCGCTGCATGTCGAAAAAGGCCGGTTTGCCCCAGGGCTGTTTTTTGACTACTTTTTGCAGACATGTTTCGGGACCTCGGTTGGCTTGGTTGGTTGAGTTGTTGTTCGTTTTCGTGCGTATGCGGGGTTTCAGACTTGGGGTTTTGTTTTGGTGGCCCCGGCCACTTCACAGGCCACCCAGGATTCAATTAGTCTGTAGTCGTCACCCACGCACCTCACTCAAGAAGGCCACAGATCTGAGCCAGTCAGAATTATCGCAGATTGTAGAGAGGCGCCAGATCTAGAATTTAGTCGCTCAGAATGACCAGGTTTCGCAGGCGAGAAAAAGGTCAATTGAGCCATTCGTACACCAGGTGCGCACGGAGCACACAGCCGTCGTCCTGCTGTTGCGATTCTTTGGCTCGGTTGCGGTTCGGATGCTGCATGAGTGCACGGTGTCGGTTCGGTTTTGCGGAAGAGTATTGTTGAAACAGCCATGGTGTTTGCACGATTGGATGCAAGGCTGCCACTCGTTTTCACTCAAGTTGCAGGAGGAGTTGGTGGCAGCTGGCTTTGAAGTTGCACTGCCAGAGCTTATCAGGATCTACCGAGACAAGGAGTGATAATCGGAGAACGGCCGGAGACATCTAGACACGCGGTAAGTGTTCAAAGTCTTTGGTTGTTGTTTGTAAGCAGCAGGCTCAGCAGGGCTCAAGCCAGGTTTGAGGAAAACAAGCTTCTCATATCTTGTTGCAAGCCACACGCTTGAACAAAGCACGTTGTTTGGGTTTCTTGATTTAGAAGAAGCGCCAGCGATGGCGTTGAGATTTCGACGAGAAGGTGATCGCATCAAAAACAGAGTGCACATGGAGCGCAGCATGGCATTGGATGGGAATAAACTTTTCATTGTAAAGGGATATGTGATATAAGCGGTTTTCACCTGGTTCCATACTATGTATATGAACTGCGCTCAAAAAGCCCTACTCAAAAAATATAGATAAACGTACCCCCCTTGGAATTTCCTCTAAAGAATCAGCCAACCCGGGTTGTCAAAAACCAGGCCATTCTTTAGAGTTCACCATGCATTTTTTAGAGTTCACCATGCATTTTTTAGAGTGGCAACGGAGTGTGATTCTTTAGAGGTGCACTTTTTGCCACTGTCATCATGGACTGGTACCAGGTGTTCTGATTCTTTAGGGAGAGTCCGGGTGCCACAGGTGTGTGCGCACTGTGCTCAACGTGTTCTGATTTTTTAGGGCCAGTGCCCAGTATGTGTTGGCAGAGTCCTGATTCTTTAAGCTGACATGTTGGTATGGGCACTGTGGATTGAGGATTCTTTAAGGTGGCAGGTGGCAGGTGGCCTCCTAAAGAATCAGACAGTCCAAGAGGGAGCCCGAATTCCAAGGGGGTTATAAACGTAACCTTTAAAGGCTGTAGTAGATGTGTTTTTAAGTTTTCGTTTAGAAGCGGGCCCCCCAGCAGAATATGGTGATACAGCAAGGCAGCGCTAGATTGGCGCCAGGTTGGCGCTAGGTTTCTTCATAACAGGATAGCAAGCAGGAAAAAGAAGAAACAAGCAGAGAGCAGGAAACAGAAGAAGCAAGACAAGAAAAAAGAAAAGCCAAGAAGAAGAAGAAGAATGCACAACAAGAAGAAGACAAGCAAGCAAGAAAAATTAGAATCTGACAGGATAAAGAAATCGACGGAGATTTTTGCGCTAGGCTGGCGCTAGATCCGCGCTAGCACCGCGCTAGACGACGGTCCATTTCTTGACCATTTGCCCATCCAACATCCAAATCTTTTGAGTCAGCTCTTAGGTCCTTCCTAACTATGTCGTTCTGAAGATTTCTGAGAACAAAAAGTGGAAACAACTGCAGGAGTCCAGCAGCAGCAGCAGCAACAGCTCGAGCATCTCAGCAGTCCGCGCTAGACACCTCGCACAGTTTTTGCAGTTCACACGCCTTCATGTTTAACATCCCTGTGGTTTGAGTATGGTTGAAGTTTAAAGGAGATTTAGAAGCGGGCCCCCATGGAACTGCGACGAGTGCACCATTTTGGGAAAAACATTTTGGAAACCAACCATATACATACTCTTACTGTACAATTGAACAGTCCGTCAGGGTCATAGATAGTACGATGCAAGGGCGATTGGGATAAATTTGGATAGGTCAGGAAGGGCCGCCTCACCAAAAATTCAACATGTGCGATGGGTACAATGTGGTTGAACCCATTCTCCGGCATTTTCTGTAATTCTGTACGGATTGGCCATCCCCTTGACCTTCCGTCGAATAGCAACGTTTCAATCAGTCGTCAACCCCTTCATCTTGTGCTTTTGCGTTCTTTCATGCCCTGACTTTGGAACAGCCTCTTTTGAGTGGTCAACCGCCCCAGTAATCAAATTTTGATGCCAAGAAATGGTGCCAAAGAAAGCTCGCCCACAAACGGGTTGTGGAAGAGACTTGGAAAACAGTGCAGTTTTCCTTTGGTGCAGTTCCCAGCAGGTTCTGAACCGCGCATTATATAGTTGTGGAGTGCTTAAGGTATAGTCTGGGGGGCATCAAGCAGTTGGCTTGCAGACTCATTGGAGGACCTGTGCATTAGCTTGCCTTTTTGCTTTCTTAGGTATTTTCTTGGTGCATGATACTGCAATCAAACATACTGTATTCTGATGTTAGCACACGCACGGCCAATGAACCTCTGAGGTATGGGTATTTCGCCATGGATTGAGGCGTGAACACAAGCTTTTCAACACAATCCACGTAAACTGCAGGACTCTCATGTTGCAAGTCTTTGGCCAGGACTTTAAATGGCGAGTGATTGACTGGCACTACCAGTTTTACATGGGGCCAAAGGCCAACAGCTCGGTAGAATATATACTCTGCAAATGTAGAAGTTTGGGAGGCGCGCAATGCTATTCTGTCTGACCAGCACCGTGCTCGCTCAGTCCAGGACCTCAGGGAAAGAGCCAAAGACAACCTGTTTTTGTTTCACAGAGTTTCCACAATTTAGTTGGAATTCGAAGATGTTTGAAGTGGGTAATTCCAAAGAATGAGATTGGTCATCTGAGCGTGTTGCCATCGGTTCCAAATCACACGGTGCCCTGAGGCGCACAACTCCCAAAGACAAATGTGATGCAAGATGATGCAAGAAATGCTATGACATGCTACGACATTGTATATAAATATGTCTTGCACCATCAACTGACATGTTCAAACAGGCCTATGTCTTGAGTCCATTGCACCTAGCATTGTTTGCCACTTTACCAATCTGGACCAGGAGGTTTGCGACAAGAAGATCATCGGATTTGTCCCACGAGACCCACGTGACCCACGCGGCTCACCCGATGAATCTGGCAAGAAAAGGCCGACATAGTTTTGCAGCTGGGTGGCTGTCCCTTGCGTGTTGTTTCATTTTGTGTTTGCCAGGCCGTACGACAGCAGAAGGTGCAGATACCGCTTGAATCTATGGAAGCTTGATGAAGCTGAGATTGCGTCAGGACAAGGCATTTTGCTTGGACAACATATTTACCTCAGGTCGCAGCCTTGGCATGTGCTTTGTCAAGCGACTGATATTGATTGAGCACGCATGCGCAATCATACGCACAGGAGTCGCAGAAGTCACTTTTTCTTTGCGAGCGGTTCCGAGGTGTCACCACTTCGGCGAACATCGAACCCATTCTGTCCGGTCACTCCAAACAAAACTGGATGGAGAGAATACATCGAACACAAGGAGACTGTCGGTCTACTGACCGTGATGATGCAAAACTTGCTTGAATGAATACAAAGCTGGGGTCGAATGGATAATGTAGAGCATGCGCGGCTTTACCTTTGCGATTGCTCTTCAAATTTAACTATTCAATTATGATGACTCCAGAGCAGTGCTTAACCAAGAGAATGACATGGTGCCAGCAGAAACCCTGAAATGGAACAGCACACTTGACGTTTGCCTGTATATAATTATGACACAATATTACATATATATATATTTACTTATTTATGTTTTGACAGGATATCCTTAGATGTTCCCGAGAGCGCCTGAGCGAAGGGTTCTTCTTTTAAAAAGAAACAGGTGCTCCTCTACATATCATCACAACTTACATCCGCACATATCCAGAGTTGCGTACTCCACACCAGCACATTTGCACATCTTTACATCTCACATCTTGACATTGGTACATATCCAGACATGCACATGTTCACATTTGCACATCTCTCTCTCTCTCCTGCTTTTTCGCTAGGGTGGTGCCGACGAGTCACCACGAAACACAATTCTCTCGCACGAAACGAGTGTCAAGTGTCAAAAGCTGACGGAGAATCTTGCGATTTCAAGCGGTCGGCGGCAACTCTTCGTGAAATGAGGGTCTAGTGTCAAAAACTGGTCCGCGGCAACCCTCTCGCACGAAGTGAGTGTCAAGTGTCAAGAACTGACAGAATATATTGTGGTTTTGATGTGTCCACTGTCCACGGCAAAGTTATCAAAAATTGCATGTGTCTTGTCAATATGCCATGAAGTATGATGCAGTGCTTCATCATTCTTCCGGATTACAGTATTTTTTTAAATCCCGGACAACATCTTATCTCAGATCTTCACATGCGCACATGTCGCACCGCATAAACGCACACAAACCTGCATTAACTTGGAATACATCTTTCGGGCAGAGCCTAGTTCTTCTGCGAGC